CTCTACGGCAAAATTTTTAAAGCATGCAATACCTGACTACTTAGTCAAGGGCACTGCTCTCTTTTCCCTTAAAATTGTCAAATAAAAAATGACAATAGCCAATACAATAATAGGCGTATGTTATGAAGAAATCAAAATTATACCTATTTTTTGGTCAGATCAGCAAAATATATAATATTTTTTTGCTGTGCCGCATAATTTTAGAAATTAAGTGTATGTGCTATGAGGTGAAAAGGTTGAAAATCGCTGCATTAAATCTTGCCCTCTGGTGTGTGCAGATGGTCTGGACAGCTCTGCCTGCAGGACAAGGAACAACCATGGTGCAGTGCACTGTGTTGCTGTCTATCCAGCTTCACCAAGTAGCTAGCCATCCTCCGCCGGAGCCTGCCCCTGACCGCTAGCTCTAGTGTGAGAAAGCAGCCCAAGAAAGGCTGGCCGGCATGCTTCACCCCCGCCCCCTGATTTATTTAGGGATAAGGATTTGGAGCAGTTGTAGTGTAACCCCCATCTTACAAAGGTCGCCTCAAAAGTCGAATTATGGAGTCATTTATTAAAGGCCGGTGGCATATGAGGAAGCAAAAGCACTCCAGACCTCGCAGCCTCAATTAGCTTGCCACGCCTGGCTTATATTGGCAGAAAATCACAAAAGTATCGATTACATCTTTGGGTCTGGAATGAGGAACCTGTTTCTCTAAAAAGCATTTTTACAGAAGCAGAATTTGAGCAACTTAGTTATCTATGAATCACTGAATCAACAGAAACACATTAGCTGGGACAGACCACCTGGACAATTTAGAAGAATTGTGCCGTCCAGACTCTGGGATCACTGAGTCAGCAGGAAGGCATCATCTGCAGCTAGCTTCGATGACCAGTGAGATCACTGTCAATGGGATATTCAAAACATCATCAATGGAGTATTCAGTCATACATAAGTTCAGAAAGTGAGTACAGAACTCAAAACAGCAAGGTTAAAATATTAAACAGCAATTTTTACCCAAGTATGGTTGCTACCATTCTTCAGACCCAGCCTAACAAGCCCGAGGATTCCCCCAAGCTCTTGCTAGAACTATCAGGAAAAAGACTTTCCTTGCCCCTAGAAGTGCCAGCCATTAGAACCAAACAGCTGGAGCTACCTCTGGCGATTTCTGACACCCTGTGGGAGACCCTGCTTCAGTGAGACCTCCAGGACAGAGGCAGAGAGAGACGCGGTGGCCACCTCGCCCAGCCTGACATTCCTGAAAGACCCGTTCCCAGAGCCACCCTCAGACCCGGGCAAACAAGGATGGCTGGCCTCCCCACAGAGAGATGACCTGCCAAGAAAAAGTCCGGAAAAATGTTGTTCCAACTTTGGATCCAGCTTTATTTGGAGCCCATCCTCGAACATCTTAATTCTGTGACTCAGCAAGCTCTGGTGCCTGTTTGAAGCAACTTCGAGTTGCATTTCTGTCACTTGCAACTCAGAGTGAAAACACTTTCCCAAAGAATGTGCACATATAAATAAAACTCAAAGTTTAAAAAGCAATATAAATCGAAGTGGGAAGCATGCTATTTTTAGAATTGGAAAAAAATGAGGAAATGTGATCATGCAGTCACTTCTGAGGTTGAGATAATTTATTTGAAAAAGTGGGAAAAGGAAGAGAAGCAAATGAAAACATTATGGACGAAAAACATCGCGGCATGAGAAAGGTCAGAGTCATGCATGAGTGAAAATTCACCAGAACAAACTTAGAGAGAAAAGGAACTGAAGCCAAATCCTGCAGCAGCTTTCCCTTCTCAGTGGAGATGGCCCCGCCCTGAGAGGGACAAGAGGACAACGTAGCCGTGGGAAGGGAGAGAAAGAGAACACCACCAGCTTCTGCAGATGCTAAGCAATTCCATCAGGCTTGAGGCAAAAATCTAAGTGGCCACTGACACCCTGCCCTGGAGCAGGTAGGGGAAAGAAAATGCCAGAGGAATAACCAGAAAAGAGAAAATGGGCTTTTCTCAAGGTGACACATTAGTAACAATTATGAAGATCTGAGAAGTTAGGAAATATGTGTGCATCAGCATCGCGGGGCGGGGGCGGGGGGGGGTCGGGGGGGGGTGAGTGCTTGTGGGGCGGGGAGGTTCTGCTGGTAGAGCAGGATGTTTTGAGTCAAAGAAGTTTGTGCTCCTGGGTTTCCTTTGAGAATATGGTTAGAGGGAGGGATCTAGACAATATGTCTGTCCACCAGCCACAGAGGATAGACTGACAGCCACTCTGCCTGGCCTCCCTGAAGAAGGAAGTGAGACTGGGACTCCTAAGGGGCTTGTCCTGGCCCCACCTTTTCTGTTTCTGATACAATATGGGGAAGGCCTCAGAGTTGGAAACCAAGAGGGAAGTCATTTTCTCCATAGAAAGGCAAGTTAAGAGCAGCGTGAAGATTCTCAATGTAGTGCTACCTCTCTAAATGTCCTTTTTGAGTTCCACCAATTTGAAATGGTTTTCACCTTGTTTTCTGCTATCTCGTTATAAGGTACTAGTCATTACTCTTGTGGGTGCTTGAGGGAACCCAATAGGCCTGTGCAGGGTCTTTCTAATGCAAACACTTTCATTTAGGACGTTTAGGAGAAAGAGAGAAGCGAGCAAACAGGATGCTTATGCTGCATCTCCTACGGAACTTACCTGAACACAGGACACTGAAAGGAGGAGAAGTGATGTGGTTCAAGCTTGTCTGGCAATAAAGCAGCAGATCACACAGCAAATCTTAAATCATAAAGAATGCTCACAGGTGAACCCTCAGGAGTTCCTGGAATTTACTTCGCCTTCGATGAGATCGCCAACCCTGGTGCTGGAGTGTTTGCCTACTTTCCTTTAATCACTAGTCATTCGGGAAGGCCCCTACCAGCAGGATCTGCTTCTGCCATGTCCCTGACCCAGATGCCATCTAGAGTCTAAGAAAGGAAGGAGGCAAAGCCCCAGGAAATGTCATATCATCCTGAAAAGCTTGCCTTGCAGAATCAGACCTGGCAACCCACTGAACAGGGCTGCGTTCATCTGCCTCCCTGGGGAGATGCTCTCACCGCCCCCCCCACCACCACTTCCTGCAAGGGAAATGGAATGCACTTGCCACAGGAAATGGGCACTTCAGAGTTCAGACTCCCCAGCACTTTCAGAATTCCCGGTAACCAAGGGCTGGGTGTGTATGTGGTCTGGACATTGCATCTTCTGAAAGGAAAAGCATGTGTAGGAACAAAAGGGGTCTTCCCGCCTGGGGCCCTCATTTTGTAGCTGCGAGACGTGAGGTTCCAAGAGGCTACATGATTTACGTGGGGTCATAAGGATGCTGTGACAGAGCAAAAGCCAGCGTGCTACGCCGAAGACCTATAGCAAACATGGTTCTCTCTCCTGTGCCTTTCTAAGTATCATCCTTGTCTCCCACTTGGTCTGTTTGATTAAGGCTGGGAAAAGGAGAAAGGGGCAAAGGAAAAAAGGGGGATGGCGAAAGTTTCTTTTTTCCTTCATTTTCTTACACTGCTTTGACACTGATAAGACTGGCTGTCCCTTCTGTCAAAGTAACCACAGACACTGAATGCTAATCAAAACCCATGTTTTTCTTTTCTTAAAAAGTGACAATTCAGGCTCTGCTACGTTAGAAAATGCCTTCATCTCAGTGTGATAGCTAAGGAAACACATGGCTAGGACCAAACTTTTGTAAATCTGAAGGGAATCGTGAAAATAGAAAGGGGATAAATATTTAATGAAAATCAGCCTCTAAGTACCTATTGCCTCAATTCAATGTCAATTGTGGAAAAAGAAAAAAAAAAGAAAGAAAAAAACAACAACGGGAGAGGGAGGGAGGGCAGAAGACAAAGAGCAGGACAAAAGCCAGCCCTAGTCCCCAGGCCAGTCACCCGTATGCAGAGCCCAAACACGGTATTTTCCAGAGGTCACTGGCCTGCCTGTCGCCCAGCAGGCCCTGCCCTGCAGCTGAGAGCACCTACCAGTGCTTCCAACTTGGCAGCCGCCCAGTAACCAGAACAATGATTGCCTTTCTCTTGCCATAATAATGCTGTCGAGTTCATCAGAGATCCATTTTGTATTTTTCATTGAGTTCAAAGCGTGCTGCTTCCTTCAGGAGAAATCCTATTGTGTTTTAAATCGTTTTAAAAATAGTTGATCTACTCCCTTAGGGAAAATAGAAATGTTTTTGATGAAAAAGAAAAAAACTTCTCAGAGAGCCTCATTATTTATCTGAAGTAAAAAATAAAAAAATAAAAAATCACAAATATATATGTGTGTGTGTGTGTGCGTGTGTGTGTGTGTGTTTGTGTGTGTGTGTGTGTGTGTGTGTGTGTGTGTGTAAGTCTACACCTATGAAACAGTACAGGCATGAGTCTATATATTTCTCAGTTTACTGGGAAACAGCTGTGGTAAAGCCTTATACTTTGCCATTCATTCACTCACTCACCTAATATATACTTCTTAAGCACTTACTATGTGTTCTAAACATGGAGGACACAGCAGTTACTAAGATAGACAAAGGAGCTAATGCAGAGAGGCCAAGAACAAACCGTGCACATAAGTAAATATGACAATTCCGAGTGTGATATACTCTTTGAAGGAAAGATGGGGTGGGGTGGTCAGCTCAGAGCCATCTGGCTCACAAGGAGCCTGTGCTGTGTAGGGGTAGGCAGGAGATTGGGCCAGATAAGGCCCTGGGGTTAGAGCAAATTTGACAAATTTGGGAGAAAGAACTCTAGCGAGGATTGAGAACAAAAATATCTATCGTGGCAAAGACTCCGTCGGATGATAATTGCAAGAGAACATGATGAACTGCAAAGCAACCCCATTGGAAAGTGCTATTTGGCTGTGCTACAACATTGTGTTATCACATAAAAAACCTCATTCTGCTGTTAGAAATGGTTAGGGTGAGAACTATGTGTTGTTTCATCTTCTACTCCCATGAAAAGAACCAGGCTCTGGAGAAGCCCCTCTCGGGGGTGACGTCACCATCACGCCCAACGCGGACCTCACATACCTGGGATCCTATTGAGCGTCACCCAGAAATGCTCATCGGGACTGAAGGTGTCCTTGGACCACTGGAGCAGGTCCACAGCCCGGGGGTCATGGAGCACAAAGTTGGAAAATTCTCTGGACAGGGCCACATAGGCCGAGCCAAAGTAGATGGTGAGGTTGTGGGGGGGAGGCGGCTTCAGAGCGGCGGTTCTGATCACATAGGAAACCTCTTTGCCCAGGTGCTCTCGGTGGACGTACTTAGTCCGGCCGATGGCATGTGCCGGGGGCAGCACCCCCGGGGTGATGTTTTTCCCTTTGAATCCTTTCAGATACTGGATTATTTCCCTGTTGGTTTTCAGGGGGAAGTCTTGCCCGCAGGTGTTGATGGCGTACTTCCAGGGGACCGCGGAGGCCACCAGGTCCCTCAGGCAGTTCAGGTCCGCCTGCAGCCTGGAGATCCCGCCGTAGACGACCGGCTCCATCCTGGAGGCCAGAAAGGCATTGGGGAAGCAGCTCAGCAGCTGCTCCACTGCATCTTTAAAGGCAGCGGTGGCCTTCTCGTCCACATGGACGCAGTAGACGTTTTGGGGCATGTAGATCGCTCGGAAGAGCCTCTCAAAGGTATCGAAATTGTGATGGATGACCATGACATAGGCCAAAGGGAACCCAGACTCTTCTTCGGATAACGGGGCCGTGATGTAGTGGCTCTGGGCCAGATAGTCTCGGCAGGAAGGCTTCTGATATAGCATCAGTTTGTCCCGCCACAGGAAAGGTGTCTTGCCTTTGATAAAGGATGCGCAAACTTGAGTCAGCATCAGAGTGTCTGAGTTATTCAGTCTCTGGAGGCTTTGCTCTCCGCCAAACATGAACACATAGAACACGATAAAAATGATGACACAGGAGACAGAAACTATAAAAAGGTAACGCATCGATGAAGACATGCCTCACAGAAGAGCAGGATTTCAAAGACGGTGGAAATCTGTGAGTCTTTTCCCGAACTTACTTTTTCCTCTGAGTTCTTATCTTGGTACATGCTCCAGCCATTGGCACCCTGAAGGAGACGCTGGGAATTTATTCCGCTTCATGCCGGGAGGCCAGCTGCAGGCTCTGTCCTCGTGCTGACATTAGCAACTGATCCCGCCCGGCTCTCTGCCTCTCTCAGAACGCCTTTGTCTAAATCCCAGTAGCAGGTTCTTACGCCCAACCTTGCTCCCTCCCTCTGCTTCCGGGCTTGCATCTGCCGAGAGAGCAGTTTCACTAAAACTCTGCTAACCACTCTCCCCTGCAGATTTAGTTTCTCAGATCTCTCTTCTTTCATTTCCTATTCCCCCGCCTCTCCTTCCCTCCCCGCCCCTTGTTATTGCCATTCAGGGAATTAGCACAGTGGAAGGCAAAGTTGAAATGATGCGTTCTGGCAGGCATGCATTTCCTGCTAGTCATCTGACTGGCTGCGGCATTCACACCCCTCTCGCTGCTCAGGGCAGTGATCTATACATCACCTGGTCTCTCGGCTCTCCCAGGGTGATCCACAGAGTATAAGGTAGCCTCCACTCTCAAATACGCTGCTTCAATGAGGAAAAAAAAATGACTGAGGTGACAAGGAAAATAAAGCTCATCCATCCTGGCTCCTCCGCAAAGCTTTCCTGCCCCGCCCTACCGTGCTCAGCTCCAGTCCTAGGGGATCTGAACGGCGGGGATCCTGGCCCTGTGACTTTGGGATCAGGTGACAGCGCCTGTTCTCCTCCTCCAGCACCCACCGTTGGGCCTGTCACAGAATGTTTGGGTAACAGGAACAAGTTCGAGCTTCATACCCTGATACAGATAAGACTTTAAAGCTTTACTTGAATCCTGGCCACAAGTATGGTAACAGTTGAGATTAGGGGACCTTGGGGCTATTCCGGTTTTAACCACCCAAAGAGCATCATCAGACACTGTTCCTGCCAAGGTAAATTTCTCAACCACCTGGGAGATGAACGTTGGTTCCCCTATTTGCAAATAATAGTGTTTTGGCAAAGGAGTAGCAAGATCTTCCACTTAAACAGTTCTTTTCTTCCACCATTCCCTTTTCCACCCATGCTTTTAAATGTAGATTCATACTATATATTTTACTTAAAATGACTCTGAAGCACCATTCAACTACTAAATGCCTTCCCATTGCTCCTCACTGTTTACCTGAACGAAATGCCTCAGTGCCTCCACCCTAGTCTCACAATGGAGACTGAGTCCCACCCCATCCCATGAAGAAATCCTGTCCTTCAGCACACACTCTTTCCTTCCTTTGGACAAGTCTCTACCCTGCTGTTACAGGACTAGAACAATGCAGGTGTGGGGGTGCCTGCTGTCAGTCAGCACCCACGCCCACGGGACAGCACGTGGCTGCGGAGCACACTGTCATGTTTCCTTCTCATTGCCATCGCTCCCGCTGCTCATTCTTCCAGCCTGGACTTCACTTTCCCCTCTGCCTTTCCTCTCCTTCTCCTTTAAGACCCATCATAAATTAACTCTATGTAGTCTCACCATTGGACTTGTATGCAAAGCGGAAAAAGAAAATGCAGCCATTATGTGGGTAAAGCAGATCAATCTCATCCTTAGTGGGAGTAAAGCAAACAACTGAAAGTTCATGATAATAGAAAATTCAATCCCAAGCTTCTCTTTTTCTAAATAATTCCTTTAAATATTATGTTATTATATGTTCTATTTCAAAACAACAGAGAGTAATTTTAGTATCTAGTTTGGTAAAGCCTGTTGACTTAGAATGAGTGTTAAAGTATTTACTGTTTGCCTAACCACTTTGGCTCAATGGTTAGAATGTTGGCCTGAGGACTGAAGGGTCCCAGATTCTATTCCAGTCAAGGGCACACCTCAGTTGCCAGCTTGATCCCCCAGCCCCTGTCTAGGTGTGTGCGGGAGGCATTCAATTGATGTGTCTCTCTCAGTCACTCAGTCTTTCTCTCCCTCTTTCCCTCTCTTCTACTCTCTCTAAAAGTCAATAGCAAAATAATCACCAGTGACTATTAACCGAAGATAAAAATATATATTTGCAATTTGACCAAGTGCTCAGTATACAGATATATAAGTTAATTAGGCCAACGGGGCTGTTTACATAATTATTTCCAACTGGCCAATAATATAGGGGCACTAACAGTGTTTCTATAGTAAGAAATGTAGACACTAGACAGATTAAGAACTTTCATGATACTTCTGTATTCATCCATTACTTCAAGTGCATTTTTTGTGTGCTGAAAATATACCTGCTTTCCCCTCTGCCCTTTCAGCTGTCCTTGGGCCAACTTTCCCTACCCTCAGGTTCTGTTCTTAAGAAATCCCTATGAGAGAACTTTTTAAAAACCTGTTGCTGCAAAGAGCAAGGCTGGAGAAAGGTTACCTGTTACCTTTCCTTCCTCAGAGGCATCTGGTCTGCGTATCTGAAATAGATCCTCTGCGATTTTTTTTGCTACTGAGACTGAACATCTCTGCCTCCCAACCTGCCTTTGGCTGCAGATAAGGACAGGGCTGACTCTCACAGCCCTGGCAACCATACCTGTCCCTCACTTTGTAAGCAGCTATTCCTGAACTAGCTACTTATTCTGGCCAAACACGTTTATATATCTGGCTAGACATGCCCTCTTCCCAGGGCTACTCTTCATTCCATTCAGAAGTCTTTACTTTTTGCTCACTTTAAAGACATTTTTCCAGTTACAATATTATCTACACGGTTCCAAAATGAAGAGGGTGTCCTTTCTTTGAAATGATGGGAGACTCGTATCCCAGTGAAATAAAGAGATAGTCAAAAGGGAGAAAGAGAGTCCTCGACGCTGGGCCCCTGCAGGCTTGTGTGTGAACGGGCAGGGGGCCGCGTGCCTGGCGCTGCGAGCCCTGGAGGAGGAGGCGGAGGAGGAGCTGAGAGCTAGTGTGCTGCCTGCCGGACTGCCAGGCCTGTGAGGGAGGTGGCAGGCGGTGGTGGAAGACAGTACGCTGTGCCAAGAACTTGGATTCCATCCTGCGGCCAAAGGAGCACCAGCAAAGACTTTGGGTGGAGGGCTGCTCCCCGGAAACATGTGCCAAGTGGAGGAGGAACGGGAGCAAAGGAAATTATGGTGGGAAAGTACACTGCAGCCCATATCTATGCATAATGCACACATGAATAACAATGAAAATATTAGATGTAAGTAAAGCCTCTTCCACTGTGAAGTAAAGGTGCTACCTACTCCTTAGTTAGTAATGTGTCCTAGAAACAATTCCAAAGCTCTAACAAGGCTTTTAGGCCTGTAGATATTCACAGAACATCAGACACTGCATATTGGCTGAGGTTTCTCTTAAACGAAGATAGAGGAAAGAGTTAAAGTTCCAGGGACATTATTGAATCATGATTGGGAATTATAGGAATAAGTCTAGACTTATTTTTTCCAACCCCTCACTTTGTAATGTAGAAGTATGTACATTACCATATTTATACTATTTATTTACCTATTTATATATGTTGAATGAATGAATGAATGAATGAATGGAGTCCACAACCCCCATGGTTCCAGGTGCCTATGGGTAAAAGAGCTCTCAATTAGAATTGGGAACAGAGCAACTGGTATCTCATAACTTGACAAACAATAACTCTGAACAGACTAACCAGATAGATTAAATGTCAAAAAGCACACAGCTTTTAATCTAATTTCCAGGGGAAACCATGAAAAATGTGTTTCTTCTTGTGTGTCAAAAAAAGGGTTGTGCACTAACTCCCACTCACAGGGCCTGGTGCAAATCACTCTCTACCGTTCACTGGGTATGTGGTCTTAGATCCCGCTTGCCTCACTTTACTAAATAGGGTGTTCTCTGCCGTGCCTTCCAGCTTCTGTGAGTTGTGTAATTTGGTATGTGTGAGGTGAGTTCGCTAAGCACAGTGATGGAATTCAAGTGTGAGTACGGCCCTGTCCTATAGGACTCAACATACATACAACAGAAAATATAATCAAATACACAAAACAGGAAAGACTATGGGTAACTTCCAAACCAGAGGTTATCTACTAAATGTCATGGGAGCTCTGAGGACAAAGATGGTTAGAAATAAAGCATGATGGTTAGAAAGCGCTTCGCTGGTTAGATTCACTCGTAGAGCATGCAGGAGGTGGTCCAGTTGGAGAAACCATAAGAAAGCAAGAACACAAAAACAGGAAAGCAAAGTGGAGAACCTTCCTGGGAAGAATTGTGAATCGGAGCTTCTTGATTCACAACAGAGAAAACTGTTCAAATCAGTAAGCCATTATCTCAAAGTGCCGGTCAGGGTGAGGGTGAACTCCAGGAGTGCTGGACTTGTGCCTCCTGTTCCTATTATAGACCTGCAGCTCGACAGGGCCTGTGTTCAATGTGTGTTGAATGGGTCCAGAATCATCTGGGCATTTGAAAGTGCGATCTTTAACTACAAAGAAAAGGAGTGTTGAAACCCATGTTTACATAAGCTTTCAATTTATATATTAGAATAGCATGAGCTAAGGCCTCTGTGATTTTTTTTCTTTAAGCAAATTTCTAGTTATCCCGAAGTATAGTTTTACTGTACCTGTAAGCATTTTCATCTTTTCCCCTTCAGTGTCCGCCTACAGAGACCTAACTATAAACACACATGAGCATTGACCTCTATTCGCACCTTCTTGTGCATCTTACCTTTGTTTAATTGCATGTACTAATTCAAACTTCATTATTCTTTCATAATTGTTCTGGGACTTGTTTTTCCATTCTCAATTAACTGCTATTCTTTAGTTGGGAAAGAAATTGAGGGGACACAGGCTTGAGCAGAAACACTAGATTTATGTTAAATAACGGCAAAAAAGGTCGTTTACAGGACTTGCTCTGATAAACTTTGTTGAAGTAGCATCCAGAGGTTAAGTAATATTTGCAGAAAGGCTAGGTAAGTGAGGTGAGATTGTATCACTTCTTGGGTTCACTGATGGCT